GGGCAGAAGAAGGATCACAAACACCACGCCATCTACTACGCAAGCCGAACTCTTGATGATGCGCAGGTAAATTACACTACTACTGAGAAAGAGTTACTTGATGTGGTGTTTGCTTTTGAGAAGTTCAGGTCGTACTTGGTGGGACGGAAAGTGATCGTATACTCAGACCACGCGGCTTTGAAGTACTTGCTAACGAAGAAAGACGCCAAACCTCGACTGATTCGATGGATGTTACTCATACAAGAGTTTGACGTCGAGATTCGGGATCGCAAAGCACGGAGAACACAGTTGCAGACCACCTTTCACCCCTTGCAATATCCGACCCTCTCCCGATCGATGATTTTCTGCAAGAGGAACAGATTATGGCAATCACTACCCGACACGAAGACCCATGGTACGCAGACTACGTGAACTATCTGGTCTCCCGAATACTCCCGTCCGAGCTTAATTATAACTGAAGGAAGAAGTTCCTCCATGACGTACGGGATTATTTTTGGGACGACCCATTCTTGTTCAAGCGTGGTACCGATGGGATGTTCCGACGATGCATTCCCGAGGAAGAAGTGCAACAGGTAATTTTCCATTGCCACTCTTCTGATTATGCAGGTCATTTCGCCGCTTCGAAGACCATAGCGAAGATTCTACAAGCGGGATTCTATTGGCCTACGATGTTCAAGAATGTTCATAGGTATGTCGCCTCATGTGATTCTTGCCAGCGCACAGGTAACATTTCTAGACGCTACGAGATGCCTCAGAATTTTATTCTAGAAGTGAAACCTTTTGATGTTTGGGGCATAGACTTTATGGGTCCTTTTCCATCGTCTTTAGGGAACGTGTACATCTTAGTTGCAGTTGATTACGTGACTAAGTGGGTAGAGGTTTTGGCTAGCGCGAGGAATGATGCTAAGACTGTGGTTAGGCTATTTAGACAGATTATTTTTCCACGTTTTGGTGTTCCTCGTGTTGTGATTAGCGATGGTGGCACACATTTTGTCAACCGGATCATCGAGACACTACTGAAGAAATACGGAGTTCATCATCGGATTGCTACTCCATATCATCCTCAGACTAGTGGACAGATGGAGATTTCTAACAGGAGATCAAGTCCATTTTGGAGAAAACCGTCGCTAAATCAAGCAAGGATTGGTCATAGAAGCTAGACGATGCGGTATGGGCTTACCGAACGGCCTTCAAAACGCCGATTGTTATGACACCGTTCCAATTAGTCTACGGAAAAGCATGTCATCTACCGGTTGAGCTAGAGCACAAAGCGTATTGGGCAATCAAGGCGCTCAATGACATGAAAACCACTGGAGAGAAACGCGTACTCCAGCTGCACCATCTTGAGGAGATCAGACTTGACGAGAACGCGAAGATCTACAAGGAGAGAACGAAGAAATGGCACGATCGACACATTATTCAGCGCTCATTCCGCTCAGGTGATCTTGTCCTTCTCTTTAACTCTCGTTTGCGATTATTTCCAGGAAAGCTCAAATCCAAGTGGTCCGGCCCATTCAAGATCCATAGAGTTTTTGACCACGGAGCGGTGGAACTATACGACTAGAGCGGTGGAATTATACGACAGCAAGGGTAGCACATTCAAGGTAAATGTGCAGCGTCGGAAGCTGTATAACCCAGCTGATCCTATAGTCGAGAGAGGCATTCTTCCTCTCGAATTACCACCATCAGCCTGAGCTCATACATGGTCTAGCTATCGACCATAAAGAAGCGCTTCTCGGGAGGCAACCCGAGGTCTTTGTATAGTTTTAGGAGTTTTGGACTTTTTGGACCATTTTAGTTGCATTAGACATGAGGTTTTTGGATTTGGGGAACCTACGTGGTGATGTTTTCCCCAGTGTGTAGACGTCTAGATCACGAGTTGCAGGTCATTCGGCAAAAATTGGGAACGAAGGTGAAGTTTCACAGACACCGGATCCGGACCGATTCCACCTGGAATCGGACCGGATCCACCTGGAATCAGACCGGATCCAAATTCTCGATTCTACTTAAGAGGGCCGAACTCAGCTCTCCCTCACTTAGGTTTTCTCTCTCGATTCGGCCCTCCCACTCTCACCTCTTACTCGATCCGATTCCACATCTACGACACCCAGGTATGCTTCCCTACCTATTTCATGGCTCAAACATTGTTTTATTATGAGTAATTTTCGGATTTGGGTTGCTACGGTTCATAAGAGGTTTCGGGAGATTTGATTGTGGAGATAATTTCGTGGTTTTGGATAGGTATTATGGGTCGATTATGATGAGAATAGGTTAGATTCACATTGCCCATACATTTGGATGCTCGAGTTTGGTCATATTTTGCAGATTTTTTCGGAGATTTTCGATCTGAGTTCGCTGCGATTGGATCCGAACCGGATCCAGTTGGATCCGGACCGGATCGAGACTCAGTTTAGGTGGAGAAGACGAACCTGGATCCGGACCGATTCCACTGGAAACGGATCGGATCCAGCCTCTGAGCTCTTTGCGCACTTTTGCGCGTTTTCACCGCGGTTTCGACCGCACTCACTCTACTTGTCTTTGAGTTTCAGATGACCACCAGGAAGACCAGGAACCGCCACAACCCGGACTACACTGACCATATACCGCTTCTGAAAGAATTTGAGATGGGCCAGAAGACGATCACCGATCTCAGCCCGTACACTCCCAGCGCACCTGATCCGGACAACACACCGCGATTCCTCTTACCATCACCGGAGATGCAGGAGCACGCTGGCGCCTTTTATCAAGTCATCCGGAACACGAAATTTGCGAGCATGGAGATCAGTCGGCTGGGGCTTTATGACTCAGTGCGCGAGCTATGCGCTGGGATTCATTGGGAAAGCCTGTTACACATGCGAGAGGACACATACCGCCAGCTGACCGCGGAGTTTCTTGGCTCATTCCGCCTATTCATACCCCCGACTGGCGAGGCACATCGAGGCTACATGGCTTTTTGGATAGCAGACCAGCAGTACCGCCTCACGATGGCACAGTTCGCCGACATCTTGGGCGTTCCTCACGGAGCTACAGCTGCCTTGCCCTTCATACACCCGGACCGACTCAAAGCATTCTGGAGAGATATCGGATCCAAGCACTTCAAGCTCAGCCTCCTCAAGTCCACATGGATCCGACATCCGACGGTCAGATACTTCCACATGCTCCTTGCTCACGTCGTCTTCGTCAAGACAGAGCCTGGAGGGCTTAACCAGACCGAGCTGCTCTTCATCAGGTACGCCTTATCCCCTATCTATGGTGGGGACGATTGGGGCATGGGACAGGTCGACATAGCATCGCGAGTCGCCCTACACTTGCATCAGATAGCCCGCTCAAATTCAGGCGTCTATGTCCGATGCGGCGGCCTTGTCACCACGATTGCGCGAAGAGTCCGCGTGAACGTCGGACGTTATGTGCGTTCCCGCCTCAAGGACGCCACAGTTCTCGACTTGGCTGCTCTGCGGAGCAAATTTTCGTTGGAGACCATTCGGGGCAACCATCTATGGTTGTACTACGACCAGCAGGGCACCAGCCAGTGCTTCACCTTTCCGAACATTCACTTACCACCGATCTCCATTGACGGACTCCGATTCCAATTCTCTGCAGCACAGCAGGCTGGACTCGAGGAGGGCGCCTACGATGGCCCGTCAGCACCCCCATCTCCTCCAACAGTTCACACCACAGAAGCTGGCCCTTCGCATATGCACTCGCCACCTCCTTTTCCCCCGGCGGATTCAGCTCCATCGCCCGCCACACGAGCCCCAGATGATTACGGCTACACATTCCAGCCTTAGGATGACTTCCAGAGGTTCATGTATCAGGCGATGCTCGATACGAGGGGCACCTTAGACAGAGCCGTCTCCGATATGCGGAGCCACGTCGACTCAGAGATGACAAGCATGTATACCAGATGGTGCGGGACTTCTTCACAGTCTCGTTGACCAGATGCAGGCACTCAGACTCCAGCATGATGCCCTATACACGGAGTTCCATAGCTTCCGCAGTCGACTATTCCCCGACGAGCAGCCGCCGACACCTATGGAGGACGACATAGACGATGCACCGGCGGACACTTAGTTCCCTGATCAGGTAGGCGTTTCCCCTTATTCGTTTTTAGTAGTGATGTAGTAGGCCTTTCCGATGTATTATGGGACTCAGATTTTGTATACTCTGGATTTCTTCATCTATATGCGAGTCTCTATGTTATTTTTCGGGTAACATTTATTTTTTTATTTGCGTTCATACCGACACACGAGAGATGAGCATCATTTTCCGAGAGACGACAATTGGATAGATTCTGGTTCATAGATTGCATGAGAGCTCTTGCATTTGACGTAAGCTAACTTCATTGCAAGCGAGCGAATTTCGCAGAGCTAAGTTTCTCTACCCCTCTTATTGGTTCTTTTCATATGTAATTTTTGTTGGGTTCCCTTCGGGTTCCTAGCATGCGATCTCATCGATCTAGGGTTTGGATTCTAGGTTTCACGCAGCGGAAGGAAAGATCTAAACCTAGCCAAACGTCACACAAAACCAATTGTGCAATAACCCGAACAATCGTGTATATCGTCGTGGGATTCGAATACTTACCTCGTTCTTTCAAGATCTGGAAGTATCAATCGATCCAGGGCCTGTTTTAATCACCGAGAGTTGAAAGCACAACTCCTCTACACGTATCCACACCGGCGGGATGAATTCCAACGCTTTGGAACGTATCTGCCAGGATTTGTGAATTGAAAAACCGATGTCCTTGACTTGGAATCGATATTCCAATCACTAGAACTCAAAATCAAGCTTCTCTAAGCTTGATGGCTCGGATTTTATCTGGATTTTAGACCGAATATGCCTTTGGTTTCGAAACGGTTTCCACACATACTAGGCATATTAGAGCCATCTTTAGGTCTCTGGGGCTAGGTTTTGTCCCGGGCCGGAAGCGGACGTTCTGATTCTACGCAGAACGGACGGTCCGTTTTATAACGTAGAACGGACGTTCTTGACGACTGGACCGTCCGTTCCAGACCTGGAACGGACGGTATGGCATTTGCGGAACGGTTCGTCCGTTCCTCAGCGGAACGAACGTTCCGGAACGGCTGGACCGTCCGGTCCAGGTCTGGACCGGACGGTCTGGCCATCTGGAACTCTTCCAGATCGCTCCGTCGCTCTTCACGTGTGATCCATCCCTAATGGTGTGTGACCCTGTAGGCCCATTCGAAGTGGCAGTGGCTTCGGAAACATTTCCCGAACCACAAGTCATGGTTAGCCTCTAGCAAGACGCCATGACCACCCACCTAGAATAGAGTTAGAGGTGATCTAACAAAGCCAGCAATAGTTCGAGTTCTGATCCTTTGTCTCACGATGTCGTATGTTGAACAAGGGCATGGTATGAGCCACCCTTCAAGTTCAACCGCTTACTCGTCTAGGCAAACCGACTGATAAAATAGATGTACATTCATCTATAGCGTGGCCACGCATTTTCACAGTCCGATTTCCACGAGGGGCCCAGCGACATCTCTCCTGCGTAGGAGGTGACAAGTCCCGTATTGCATGTCTACTATCTGCATATGATTCGTGAACGTATCTGAGCAACGCCGTTATGATCATCCGGTTAAAGACGACGTTTGACGCAGTCAAGATACGTCACTCCTCATATCAGATACTCTAGACATCTCAGGTCTGAGGATCCAATAACGAACCGCTGTATGAGATTCAAGTCATGACTCATGTCCATGTGACAATCTCATGCGGGTCATCCAGTAACTCGTTCCAAACGAGAACCCATGATTGTGATTTGCGTCTAATGCATATGATCATAATCATCTATCACACATCATGCTGGTCTTAATTCATCATTGTTCCCACAATGATAACTGACCAGGGAATTTAGAATCATCTGCAATGAGTCAAGGATATTTACCGTAATATAACAAACATGCTAATCATATAACGGGAAAAGTAATGCATTCATAAACCAATGAATCAATACATAGTCAAAATGTCATATCACGGATCATCGTAGAGCATTACAACCAACAGTTTTCGATTCTATTTCTCCGGGCGCGAGTCTACACCGTGGACGGTGTATGGTTCAAGTCTGGGGGGTGGATAGATCCTTCCACGTTCAGGCCTATCTATTCAGGATTGCATTTAGTTTAGGTGCATTTTATAATGGCATATAGACTTAGAAAAATTTTTCACTTCTGCATATCACTTTGCATTTGCTGCATTCACGTTTTCTTTTTCTTTTTTCCATATAGATGATTTTTGTTAGGTTTGCATGATTGCATATGACATATAGATATAGGGTCATATAGGTTCATGTGCATACCTCGGACACCAGTTTTGAACATCATTTGGAGGATTTTTTGGGATGATAGAGTAGGAATATCTTGATGATCTAGTGACTTTGTAGAGCGTGTTTGAACCGTGTCGAATTGATAGTTCTCCAGACTTTCTATATATAGTTTGTGGGATGAGGTTGTTGTTTGGAACCTACGGAGTTGAAACGACTATATCCAGGTTATATGTTTCGTTTAGAACCTTTTCCGAGTCTTGCAGGTCGATAAAATCTAGTTCAACAAATGCCTTGGGAAAATAAAGCATCTCGACACTCCGCTGTCAAAATCTCGT